TACTCGTGCGTGCAAAAAAGTGGTTCTTTACGCACTTGTAACACAATATACTATTAAAGTTAATTAAACTCCAGTGAAATAGAATGAACAGCATGTTGTTAGTTTCGTAGAGTAGATCAACATTTATATTCAACATGTTTGGAAGTTTGATATGATGTGGGTAGATTTTTGCAATGGGAAGTAACCGACCAAGAGGAAGTTTCCACTAACCATTACATGGAGAAAAAAGTTGGAGAAAAATTACCAAACAAATCAAGTAATCGTGGAGCAACCTCGATTTTCAGCACTTTTTCACCTTAAATAGGAGAGAAAGTGCGACATTAATAGTGAATTTTACTTCGTTGGCCCGGAAAAATTTCATGGGACCATTTTTTTTTTCATAGCGTGATTTGTACCGATACTGTAAAATTAACCCTGTATATTTTTCGATAATTTTTCTGTAACTGATAGTGATTTTTACCGAACCCGTTTGGTAAAAATTCACTTCCTTTCGTCCCCATGACGTTCATAGGGGGACAAAACAATCCTCTGCTGTAGGGGGAAATTTTACTAAACAGGAGGCTAATTTTTGCATCCGTACATGTATTTTTTTACCGAGAAAATCGTAAGATATCTACTAAAAACCAGTATTTTTTTACTGAATTACATTTTGCTCCACAATTACCATTCAAATAGTAAAATTTGTCACGATTTTCGAGGTAATTGTTATCCAACTTTTCTCTCCATGTACCATTCCCTGATTCGTGGCGAGAAAGGAAACTCTATTAAAAATTTCTGGCTGAAATTTCCCGTCCACTTTTTGCGAATTTTGAATGCTCTCATGAACAATTTTCAGACATCAAAATTCACGGCAGGAATACAAACTGTTTTTCACAAAATTGTTTTAAAATGAATTGAACTCCGGTGAAATAAAAAAACCACATGTTGTTGGTTTCATAAAGCGTACTAAACTTGATATTAAACATTTTTACAAAGTTTGATGTTGCGTACGTATTTTGTGATGCTGAAACAATTGTTAACATAAAATTCAATGCGATGTGAAGGACAGAGAGGAACTTTCCTCCAACCACTGCAATTCGAAAATTCATCGCACACTGGAGGTGGATGGATACGTGAAGTGCATTATTTCCCAGCATTATGTTGGTCCCTATAGTTTCCTATTATTCACTATCAGAACATCGCCCGCAGACCTAACGCAAAGTTCGCGACAGCGTCTGAGTAGTTTATGAATGCCGCTGGGTGATTGCGCAGCGCTCGGAGGTGTTTATCAGAGTAGCTCGTTCTCCCACATCGCCCACCTCCTCCGGGCGCTCTCAACTGTTGGATTCCCAGCGCCTTCCTGGCTTCGCACTTCAACGGATGGGAGTTATCCTCGATCAATTTAGACCATTGCAATTCGCTGCAATATTTCAAACAATCGACTGTTTTTCCGGCTAACGAAGCCGGATCGCAAAAATTTGAAGTGAAAGGGTGGAATAGGAAGCAGAAGGGAAAGAGTGTGGAGTGAGGGGGAATTTTTTTTCATTTCGTCGGAGCGAAACCCTGCAATGCCACTCAGGCGACAATTGCCCAGGCTCGGTGATTGTATTTGAAAGGTTTTGGGAACTTTATTCATTTAACTGTATTTTTTTGTCCATTTCCAACTGCAGTGGAGCAATAAAAGTGCAAAAATTTCATATCCATGGCTCTCGGTTGAATGAAAAGTCTGCATACAGAGGCATCTGCATTCATGACTCACCTCCCTCCATGAAAATATCAAAGTATCTTTATTGCAAATAAGGGCTCATGTTGCTGATAAGCAGAAGCATTCGTGGGCACACGTGCGGTTGGTACTTTCATGACAAGAATTTGCAAAGGCATTTTCCCATTTCCATGAGCCAAGGAGGGCGAGCTATATTGGACGTGTATTAGTCTATCGATAGATATCGCTTTTGGCTTTGAGGATCGTGGCAGCAAGTTTCTCATATCCGGGGCCCTGGCCTCTAACCGCCAATCGATCATCTACGCAATTATTTCCTTTGAGTATACATCACAAAGCATGTGTAAACGGATACAAGACGATATTATCGGAGGTATACACGAGGTGTGCTCAGGGTATCAACAATTTTAGATAATTTTGAGCAGCCTGCGGTAGTGTGATGAGAAATTTCTGGTAATAGTCGAACTAATTTGGTTAAGTGGTTATTTTTTGTTGAATAATTTTTTGTAAAACATGTTGAAATCTTTAACAACGAATAGTTGACGTGGAATTTTTGGGCCTATTTGTTATTGACAAATGAGCTAATTTTTTTATTATTCAATGAAATTAAAATTTTTAGATCCACATGGCAATGAAAATTGCAGGAAATTACGAGCATCCAGGGAGTAACTGTATTGTATTCTCAATCTATTGAGAATTCATTTACATTTACTGTTTAATTTTCACAATAAGTCCGAAAATTTAAATTAACGTGAAAAACTCAATTTTGGTGAGTTCTCTAATTGAATGCGGAATTGCGGGAAATATAGAAACTCTGCAATAAAACGTAAACTTTTCTCTCAATTCTTCTGATCCTTGATACTGTTGGAAACAAATTAAAATTAAAATTTATCGGCAGTTTAATAGCAATGTTTAGGAGAGCAATATGCAAGTTAATTTAAGGGTGAAAAGATCATGAATGTAATGTTGTCAACTGTAGGTATTGTTGAGCCCTATCGATCGCCATTGCCTAAAATTTATTTAATTTATGAATTTTTATAATTTTTTAAATTTGTCAAAAATTGTTTTTTTCACAATAATTAACAAAAATATTCTGAATTGATTGAATGATGGCTTAAAAAATTTGTTCGGATATCCTTTTGACCGAGTTCGAAGATGAAGGCGATAGCAATAATCGTTATTTTGATTTACTTGAAAATTTGCAAAAATTTTGTATTTTTTCAAAATCAGAATTCCCAGGATATCTTTGGATATAATGCTTCAAATCAATTCAATCATACCTTAAAATGTTTGATAGCTATATTGATTGATTTGATTTTTATGTTGATTGTTGAAAATTTCGAATTTTTCATGAGTTTCTCTGAAAGTGAGCTTTCTGGTAGTTTCTTCAAATGCTGTTTGAAATTTCAACTTCATTCAAGTATCTATAAACAAAAATTTTCTATTACCATTTTATCGAAGGGCTGAGGGTGCAGATAAAACTGTAAAAAAGACAATTGGTTATATAAAAGAAAAGAATGATAAGAATAATATTCAACTAAGTTGAAAATCTGACAAAATTAGTTAAAAAGAAATCTTATTTAATTTAATAAAATGAAATAAACAATGAATTATTCATGATAGAAGGAAATGATGTGCAAAATAACCATTCGGAAGCATATTACTAATTTATTATAAAAAATAACTATACTATATTCAATACAAGAGCAATTTCCAACTTGCTGTCATTAAAATGTCAATTGTCTACTATCACTTCATAAAAACTATCCCTCCCTATCAAAACTAATAAGAATAAACTGAGAACTTTGAAATGCAAACGAACTGCTCCCATCTCCCCTCTTATGATAATGCAAATCTTAGATGAACTTGTGGATTTCATCACTCGAGTTCCAGAACAGAATGCCTGACAATTGAAGTTGACAAGAAACCCGAGAGATCAAATTAATAGCGGTTGACTTGGTATATAGAGATGAAAATCAAAGTGATTAATTAGCTCGTTCATCTCATTCTCTCCTCCCTGGACGGATCCACCATGTACCACCCGAACTCAAGGACAAGCAGTGGGTGGGACAAGCGGGTTACGAACAAATACAAATCCGGAGGTAAATTGAATGGCGAATTGGTATCCTTCGTGATGGGGTTTCGGATGATATTAATTAGCTTTCGGAGTTAATCTGGCGTCTCATTTCGGTGAACGTATCATGGCTGATGGACGCGACTGGGCATTGTTTACGAGATACCAATTGCGTGCATAAGTCAGTCGAGGGTAGATAGTGAAGGTCGAGTAGTGGATGTTATCGGATGGGATGAATTGATTCCCTTGGCCAGTATGATAAGCATCGATTGATCAGTTATTCCGTATCCTCAGGGTAAATTGTCGCTGAGAAATCTCCCGGATGATAAATCCAGGGAGACAATTGATAACCGATGGCCGGATTTTTCGGATATACAGAGGTTGATGCCAGAAAAAAGGGGATATTTGATATTCCCTGGTTGTTGAGGGAAAAAAGATTGCTGGTGGATCGGAAAGATCTATTGGTGAGGAGTGCATCCATGCTCACATCGGAAATTCATCTGCGCAGCTGAGAGTCAAGTCCACAACGAATGGGGCTGGATTGAATTGGAAATGAGATCAGTCTGAGGAGGTGGAGAAGCTTGAATTTATGGTCTATCTTGGGACGAGTGTGTGAGCGCTGCTGCAGATGAGGGATTGAAGAATTAGGAATGAAATTAATGATGAATTAGGATATCCTTGCATTCCGCTCTTCACTGAGAGAAATTTCGACATAATATCACATAATATCTTTTCCTTCTCTCACACTTACTTTTTCTCTTCAAGAATATTATCTAATTTCCAGAAAAAAATATCATTTTTTCACTCAGTATCCTTCTTTTGCCTGAAGGGCACAGAGTTCTTGTCTGAAACCTACGATGAATTGATCGAATATGCATGCGATGGTCTCCATTCAAGAAATTATTTTTGTCATATTATGTCGATTTTTCTCTCAGTGTTGAATTTATTTGTGGGCGACGGTGGAGTGTCCAATACACTGAGTGGATACTTTCTCCAATGTTTCAGTGTGTCATCACTCATCGGAGCATTCTGTGGATTATTAGTTATTTCAGAGATGCCGTTGTCAGACAGACGAATATTCTCTTATTGCAGATTTTCTTGATATCCCCTGAGGGAGGAACTTATATTTCATCAATGTTGAGTGATATTCCCGAAGCACTAGAAATATTGATGTATTTTGAAGAATGACTTGGAATAAGGAGTCGGGAAATCTACTATTAAATCAACTACGTAATTTACCGGTTTTACTATTGAATCATGAACCAGAAAAAATGAACAATCAGATACTGAAGTAATTCGCATCGTAACTTATCAAGCATCCAACAGCCCGAGTTTGGCATATTCAGGAAGACGAGCCATCAATTTCTTCCTGAAATTATCTCCCCCATAAAGTTTTCTCGTTCCTTGACTGTCGTCAGATACCAAATCATCTATGGGATATACCTTGGATGACTGCGCGTGCAAGATTGGTTCAATCGGACATGTGACTACTACACTGATAAATATTCTGTCATCGTACATCTTCCTAATATCCTTCAGAGAAGGTGCTGTTGCTCTGCAATTCAGATTCTTCATCGTTTCCGATAATACTGAGTGATACTCTTCCAAAAGAGAATACAGATGGCTTTGCGCAGCTAGTGACGTTGCTGGATAGAAAAAAATGGAGATCGACTGCTGGAGAGTTGTAGCATGCATATTGAAAATCGACCTGGTGAGTAAAATATTCGGGTCAAAATTGTGTTAATCACAAAAACATCAGTGGAAAAATTAGTGAGATCTTCAAGCTCTCAATTCATTCGCAGGTTTTATCAAGTCAAGTTAAGGTATTTATGGCGAGGTGGGCATGCGCAGAAAACCAAACGCTGAACAAAGAAAACGATATTTCAATTACAAATTTTCAATCTATTTCGACCATTTTTGTGTTCGAAATATTTTTTTAATAACCTTTCAATTTTTTCCCACATATTTCAAGCCTTTTTTCATTTTTATAGTTGGCCTTTTAGATAATTCGAAAATAATTAATATGGATAAAAAAAGTGACAACGTCGTACCGTTCGAGGTACAAGTCGGCAGCACTGATTCACTCAGCTGTTATGTTCCGTCCCATAGTGAAATGTATCTCACAACTCCAGTCGAATTTGCCGCGCTTATCCCCCCACGATTCCTAACCTCGACGTTGTCCCCATTCCAATTTGCGCACGCAGAATTCCTGTTTTTCATGGGTTTTTTAATTATCCCTTCGAAACAATTATTTTTTTTGATTATTTTTTTTAAGTACCTCCATGAAAACTCCACCCAGATGCAAAGTATCAGGAGAATGGCGACTTTTTTTTTCTATTTTTAATATTTTTTCCAAATTCTTATAAGAGCCTGTGTTAAAATACATTTATTGGAAAAATTCCTTTTTCACCCATTCTTTTCTTTACCGCCGTTTGAGTCCTCTTTTCGACTCTCATTTCGGCACTCTATCCAACCCTATACATGCGGCTGTGCATTCTACACTGTATCGCATTCGCCCTCCTGGGGTAGGCATAGGGGTGGGAAACCACAGGAAACCCATGCCGATATAGGCGGTTACTCTATTAGCAACCTCCCGCTCGCCGGAACCTTCCGTTTAAAAATTCGGTTCCACGGAGAATCGAACTCACAACCTTTGGCACATTCTCCCATTGCCCTAGACTATCTGGGATTTTGCATAGGGGTTTTGAAAAAATGAACGAATGTATAAAACAAATTATCAATTTCTTGACTCCCCCCCCCCC